CCCCCCACCTGCCTGATCGCACCACCCAGGAGAGCAGCCTCCTTCTCTCCTGCTCTGTGCGATGACCTTCCCAAACAGGCAGAAGCGCAAAATCCTCTGAACCCGCCTAAACTCAGCAGCCAGAGAGTCGAAGGGACCAACAGACTGCTCTGCTCGATCCGTCAGCTGCTTTTTCTCATTAGCTTCCATTGTTCCAGGGCCATCTCCAAGTCCCAGAGCAGGTGCAACGAGCGGCAGCTAATGACAGATATCAGTCAAGCAGGTCCCGAAAGACTGAGCCTCCTTAATTTTATGCCATAGGAAAAGCTGCGGCGGGAATAAGGATGCACAGGGAAAAAAAAAAAAAAAAAAAAAAAAAAAAAAAAGTCCACAGCACGCTTTGGAGGTCACTGTACCGGATTTCTAACCCACACCACGTCGTTAGGCGACATGGGTGGGACAGAAGCGGGTGCGGTTAAAGGACAGGAGAGGTGGAGCAGGTAAACTCATTTATCTCGGCTCCGATTTCAAGGGCTCTAGTTTGTTTTTTTTCCCCTCCCCGGCGATCTTGCCTCGCAAGGTCTTGCAGGCAGCGTACCGTAGAGCGCTCCCTTGCAGTGGCTGAGCTTACAAACCACGACTGCACATACCTTTAGCGGTGGAAATGCAACACTGATTTCTAGTAAGTCTTCGGGAAAAACGAAACAGAAGTGAAATAGCCATGTGCTCTGAAACACTTCTCGTCAATGCTAGGCTCCATGCTTGAGCAAGAGCGTTTGTTTTTGTTTTTTTTTTTTTTCCCAGGGCTGGAAATGTCAAAAAGTGACAGCCATCTAAGAGTCAGAGTCCGCTCTCAGATGTCTGCTTTAGCGTAAAACTTAGCAAAAAAAGAGAGAATGGTTTAAGGCACTTAAACGAGACGAAGCAGGTTAGACTTCAACTCCCAACTCTATCACAGACTTCCTGTGTGACCTTGGGCAAGTCTCCATCCCTCTGTAGCTCAGCTCTTCATCTACAAAAGAGAGACATTGCCCCTCTCCCCCTTTGTTTATTGCAATTAGTGTCTGCGAAGCGTGGATGATTACACGTACAACCAGCTCCTACCACAGCCAGGCTCGACTGTGCCTCCCAGGGTAGGACACGCAGCAGTATGGAGAAAACCAGGGGTATGTGTTGGTACATGTTTCAGTGATTTTTCTAAGCGGTTCTCTGGCTTTTCATCTCCTATAGCGGCTGAATCTTTTAACTACAAGAAGTTTTTCGAGATGGTAGGATTGAAAAAGAAGAGCCCAGAAGATGTGAAGAAGGTTTTCCATATTCTTGATAAAGATCGAAGCGGCTTCATCGAAGAGGAAGAATTAAAGTAAGTAAAGATATGTCCTTTCTCAAACAACCTCGCCATAAGTGTCTAATTTCCTCTTTTCTTTTTTTTCCAAGACTTTAGGTAATAGCATACAATTCAATCTCTTGACTAGTATTTGTGTGCAATAACCAGTTGTTTGCTGGTTATATGGTTCAAAGAGAGTTGGAAGTAGCTAGTTGTAACTTATTTTAGGATCCCTGAAATACACGAATGATCAATACCTCGCAGATAGTTCTTCAGTCAAATGCAGTTTCAGAGTAAAGCGCTCCTTCTGAATGTTAAAGGTGGTCAACAACAGAAGATACAACCCTGGATTCCAACTCACATATCGAATCAAAGGTACAAATAAATACAAAGTGAAACTGCTCTGGAAAAAAACTTCCCTTTTTTCCATGCCTCCACTTTAGGTTTGTACTGAAGGGCTTTACCCCAGATGGAAGAGACCTATCAGACAAAGAAACGAAGGCTCTTCTGGCTGCTGGAGATAAGGACGGTGATGGTAAAATTGGCGCTGATGGTATGTGATCAGAGGAGTAAACTTTGACAGTAGCAATCCAATATTACTCTTACATACAAGAACTGATGAAATCTAGGAGCCACTGGGGGCTGTGACCTTCTGAAGGGCACAATTTGGATTTAATGAAATGCCAAGTCCTGCTACATTTGCCATACCTTGGTTGCAGGCTTTAGGGGAAACACGAGCCGAGTTCTGACACTAGAGGGGGCAAGAGTTTACAGAAACCGAGAGGTAGTTAAAGCACACTATAGCACAGGACCGAGTACCGATCCAGCTTCTACTTCAATCAGTTTAATTTTTCTGTTGATTTCAGTGGAGTGAGGATCAGGACACTGGGAGTTCAAAGACCCGGGCTTGACTATAAAGCCTAGAAAAGAGAAAGAAAAAAATCTGAGTACCAGCATTTCTTCTTGATGATTAGTCAATAGGAAAGTAATCCATGATTTAGCAAAGCGATGCTCTTAAAATTCAAAGTACAGTCAGTCTGCTACAGAATTTCTATACAATAACTGTCTACCCAGCTTTTGCTAGAGTTTATGTAGGTCTTCTTCACAGCTAAGAAAGCTTGTCACTCCCTTTTACTAAATACGAGAACTACAAGAAAAGGACAACTTTTCCTGTTACAGCATTGCTTTAAAAATTACTGCTGTTTTCTATTCCCCCTTGGAATGAATCAAATTAGCCCACATACAAAATTTCTCCTTTTTCCTCCTTCTGTATCCCTGAGACACACTGGAAGAGACATAAAGGGATGCATTTCTGAACGAAATCTTTCCTCATTGCAGCAGATAGTAGTGGAAGTTTGTGTCCAGAGTACTAAACGACCTAGACAGCAGGCAATTGCTAAGTTTTCAGCATATTGATAAGCTATATGATTGATGGACTCTAAAAAATATCTCAAAAACCTCATATCTCTGTGTTACTTGATCTCAGGGATTTGTAAAAAAAAAAAAGGCAATTAAAAAAGGAATAAAAAGCAAAATACAGTTAACTAACATAGTCTCTTAGTTTATAAGCTGAAAAAATGACACACAAAACCAGCCACTGACATATTAGTTGGGTGATATATTAGCTAAACTGCCTGTTCACAGCACACTGGCATATCAGTGACTAAAACTGTGTTTCTAGACTAAAGCCTCTTAATTTCTCAGATCATGATTACATTATGGTTGCAGAGAAGCAATTGTGAAGCACCTAGGGGAAGTTCCTACTAAACTTTAGCAGCTCTACAGAACCCAATGACTCTGTCATTATTTGAAATTTCATATGCTTTATTATATGGGTCCTCCTTATTCCCATTAACATTAGTGGCAGTGGTACTAAAATCAGTGGGCAAGATTTTCAGAAGAAAACTTGATTCAGGTAAGTAAGCTTACAGCTGAGCCACCAACTCACATCAGATACATTTTCAGTTATTCCTGGAAGGCTGCAAAACAAAAGCAGTATCAATTGGAATAAAGTAACTATATTGCAGAATGATTTGGGCTTGTACAAGAGAATACAGCATTAAGTTTTTTAATTAAGATTGACCATAACTTTTTTTAAAAAAGTTGAAACAATGCCTGAAAGCCAGTACATTGTAATAAAGCAATATGAAACACCTCTTCTCTTTATCTCTTTCTTCTGCAACTTTTACCCTTCCTTAATTTTGAACTGGAATTATTCTGAATTTATACTCGATAATGAGAAGAGAATTAAGGGCTTTTTTTCTTTTGTTTCTTCTGGCCATGTCACTACTGTATACCATTATCAGTTTCTTTTCCATTTCTTAAATTTGACTCCAACAGCAAATTGTTACACTGGAAAGGCTTGAAATACATGCAAAGTTAACAGCTGGGACTGTGACCAAAGGATGAGGATGACAGATACTTTCCAGCTTTTCCTTTGGTTCATAAATCCAATTCCAGATTATAACTGCCCACACAAATAAAATGTAAAGTCATGAATGTACATCATATTCATATCCAGTATTGCAATGCTGTATTTCTGTTGCAAACCATTTGTCGGTTTCCCTGTAACCAAAGTGTCAGGCATCACTTTTACCCTTGTTTCAAACATCAGCTTTGTACATCATTAAAGGATCACAAACATGCAGCCTTTCACAGAGCTTACTGTTAATTCACTAGATGGCCCTTGAACGCTGTCCCTCAGGAGCCCATAGCAGTTGTAAGAACTGATCTTCCTGGATTTTTAACACCACAGAGCCACCTTTTTCAGACATATCATCATAAACGTTAATCCCAACCTCATCAGCCTTCTTCCAGTTAGGGTCTCATATTACAAATTTTCTCTTAGCTCTCCTACTTTAAACCTTTCATCATACCTGCAAGACCGTTCAGCTCAGAAATAGTTTCACCAGCTCACCTCTTGTACAATCAAGATTTGTAATTTGTGGCTGATCTGCCAGTTTCAAACAGTTGAAAACGTGCAGCTTGTTTATGCAAGACATGATCGTCTTCTGTGTGACGTCCAGCCCCCTCTATCTTCCACTGATGTGAACAGAAGATGATGAATCTGAAACAAATTGCAGGTTAAGGCCACATTACCTAATAAAACTACAAGCATTAGCTTCCAGATTGGATTGGGAAGTGACACTGAAGCAGGTATGCCAGCTTCAGGAGAACATTCATAAGAAAGAGGAGAAAAGAAAATGAAGATTTCTGCTCACAGTGTTCAGGTTTTTTAGATCTATTTTGTGTTTTACCACTGGACATGCACATCAGTGCTTTCAGTGTCTTGATATTAACAGACTTGATAAAGTACACAGGGAATTTTCAAAGATCATGCGCTGTAGACAGAACAAATCCAAATTTTTATCCCAGTAAGTCAAAATCTTTTCCTTGATAAAGCTCAGCTTCTGCAAATATTTTTAAATGTTTCAACTATTTTCTTTAAATGTCATAAAAACAGGCATCAGGCATTCAAAATTACAACTGCTGAGTCATGACCTTGCCACAGGTAAAAGGCATGACAAAAAAGAAAAATGTTTTGGAAGTCTTTTTATTGTCCCTATTTGTGCTCTTGTACCTTCTAAAATAGTGTAAGTCATTAGTTATGAAGTTTCCTGAACAGATTTGCTATTGTACAGATAATGTAAAAAACACAATCTGATGAGAGAAGTCATTAGCCTACAACATGTTCTCTGTAATTACATCTGTCATTTCAGTAAAGTCCTACAGGGTATGCATTAGGCTGGTACATACTACCAAACTCTACTGAACACAGTGAAACAATCCTCTCCTTTTAGGTCAGAGCTTTGAGACAAGACAGTAAATTATTTTACATGACAAAATAGTCTAAATCCTTGCAATTTAAAACTATTATTTGTGCAAAGAAAGATATAACTTTTGTTGGGAAGGAGAATTCCAACTGGAAAAGAGGATGTAGTCAGGCACAAGGATTCTCTCACTGACAGGCCAGCCAGAGACAATAAACGTTTAGAAGAACGGCAGGGGCTAATGCACAGTGCCGTGTCTCAGATGTTTTGCGCGTATGAAGGCACTTCATAGCAATGCGTCCACAAGCCACCTGTGGCTGGGCTAACCTTCATACAAAAATAAACAGTGAACTAGTTTACAAGATTATTCAGCTGGAACATCTTTGAAGTATTTAAAGTATATTGAAAACCCTGGAAAAAGTATAAAGCGTATAGCACTTATTCACGGAGGAGTATTTTACGGTTTGCTGGCTATCAGAAAGTACCCATGAAATATATTGCCATTAAGCGATAATATCACTATCATAATGTATTATAGAAAATATTTGGCTGCAAGTCTGAATAACCTTTTCCAAATATATTCCGTAGATACAAATTATTATTAAAAGGATTTAACTTAGCAGTAGCGAGTCTAACACCGTGTTCTAATAGCACATGCATAGTTAAGTTTTCCCTTCTGGAATGGTTTCATCCATTGCAGTTCATGTCTCTCTCTGCAGGATTTACTCACACAGTGATTTAATAATCATAGCCTTTTTCCTTTTCTGCCCAAAATAGTCTGGCTTCCTATCACAAGCACTTTATGTTATCTCTTAAATTCAGTTTGCAACACGTTCGATCTATGTACCCACCGTGTACAGGATTTATACACATTTTGTGTTAAGTAATCTGCATCACTAATCCTAATTTGGATTTACATCTTTCAAAATGATGGATAAATTGGGATTTAATTTAAACCCTCTGACACTGTTATTTCTCAGTCTGGTTTGTGAGCATTTGGCAACACGTTTTTTGGACACGTCATCAAAAGGGCTATCTGTTTGCACACACCAGTCAGTACAGATCTCACTTGTTTAGAGTTTGGCATTTTTCAACCGATCATTAGAATGTTCTTTAAAATCCCTAATTTTCATCTTCTATATTTTTTAGTTGCCAGACGTTACTCTTCATTATGCCAAACTCCAATAATTTTCTCTTGAGCCTTTACAGATAACTGCCTCCCCTATTCGTCATTTTCCTCTCAGCTGATTATGTTAAACCCATAAACCACTCTCTCCGTATACCCTCTAATCCCTTTATCAGCTTTGTTGCCCTTCTTGGAATTCCCTCCAGTCTGTCATTTTCAGCACTCTGAGGCACACGAAACTGTGCAAGGTATTCTCATGTGTCACTGCTCTGAGGTTAGATGGAGTTAGGAATTAGAACCTCCTTGGGTAATACAGTATTCAGAGCGCAGTACGCCAGCCAGCCATTCACCAGGATACAAATGTGCCTTTCCCATGCTTTATCACCCTGCTGAAAGGCATTATAAACACCAAAGCATAAAATAACCCCAAACTGCAGATAGATACATTTATGTATATATTATGAATGTAACACTAACAGAACCCACAGGGTAAAATCCCGGCCCTCTCAGAGAAAAGGCATTTTTCTCTTTATCACCAACGTGTTCAAGATTGCTACCTAGGTTGGTGTCAGCCTTCTGTTTTTGTAATCTGTCATTTTCCATAAATTTGCCATTACAAAATTGAGTTTTAAATGTAATGTATTTATAACATAGGGACACGAATACTCTGAAAGACTCATTAACGAGTCTCTTTGCCAAACTCTGATATAAAGGAAATTTATCTCACTGCAAAATTAAATTTCTGGTTCTTGCCTTCATCCCATTGAGATTTACAAAGGAATAACAGGGAACTAATCAAGTTCTTCAGATGAATAGCAGTGGACAGTCTTGACAGTCTGGCATGTAGAGCATTTCTCCCTTACACTCAAAAAATCCTTTCATTTCACTGTAAGATTTCCCAAGTCATATTTTCCCTTTAATTAACTTGGATTTCTTTGTTCTTCTGTTATTGTGATGTTTCTGCTACACCAGTGACTCTGTAATCATTGTAATATGCTTCCTCCTTCTTTACATTTTCTTTTTTTAATATTTTTTTTAAATTTTTCCCTTCTCCAGAATTTGCAACTATGGTGGCTGAATCATAAAGGCTTTGACCAATGCAAACCCTTCACCCATCCTTCACTGCCCAATTCCAACCACCTCCTGCTGACTGCTTTGGCTCCTGTTCTATTTATTTATGTTATTTTATACTCCAGCTCTGTTCTCTGCAATCCTGCAACTCTGTAATTGTGCTGAAAGACACTGTTAAAATAATAAAGGTCACATCAATCTGGGCTTTATTCTCTCTCACTATAACTTGTTTCTTACTTCATGTAGGCTTGGCACACGCTGAGAGAAAATTTTACTCTCTTTTGCTGACATCCCTGCTGCTTTATCCCTAGCTAGGGTAAAGTGGGACAAAATTAAAAAAATTATTTGGGATAAAACATGCATATATGAGTCATTCAGTCCAAGTTCTGAA